CAAGAAGCCGGTGGGTGCTGGGGACATGGGGTGTTCTTAACAATGGGAGACAGATGCATCCCATGGTCCCTAACTCAGGACACAGATAATTGGGCAGAGGGGCTGAACCCCTTGGAAAGGAGAGACCCTTTGGCTGGTACCCCCGACCAACTCCAGGAAAACATTCACAAAGCCAGCTGCCTGCAAATGATTAATGAAAAGAAATTAATTCCTGGTTTTGAGTCACCAATGCAATCACTTGTAAAGCCTGAAATTACGACCTCTAATTCAAGGGCTTCCAGGAACACTTAAAAGCTACAGCAATTCTCCTTCAGAAAACCATAGTAGCTATATCCCCGCCCCCTTTTCTCTATCTTTTTCTCTCCCTTAATCCCTCATCACATTTTGCTGTGGTCATTCAATAAAGGTATATTTGTTTTGATTATTACTGCAAATCCCCTGTGCCATGTTGGTTTGTTGCACCCTGAGATCAATCCACGAATCATCATGAAACCCGTTCCTAAGGATGGATTGTGACAGCATGGCACCATGCCATGCAGCCCTCAGGGAAAGAAACATCTCCTTTAAAGTTAGTACTTCATTGAGCTCATAGTGAAAGCCAATTACAAGTTGGCTTTCACTATGTAGTAATTGTAGTAATTTAATGGTTGTTTAAAAATTGTAGTAATTTAATGGTTGTTTAAAAATGTAGTCAGAAATCCATTTGGAATTGGGATTTTTAAACTAATTTTATATCAATATTTTTAAGCACTGTTGTAGTTTTCACTGGTAAAGCTAGTATTGTTGTTTATTTGCCTTGTGTTAGACAAGCCAGAATTTATGGGGGAATCTTAGTCTCTTTTATTGGACTACCTGATGAAATTGAAAAATTGTAGTTTTTTTGATCCATTGTATCTATGACATTGCTTGTGTCTGGGAGACACTTAATACTGTGTGACATATCAGTAAATAAATAATTAAATAAATTAAATAAATAAATAAAAAAATTAAAACAGCCTTTCTGACACAGACTAAAAACTGATTAAATGCTAGGTTCTTAAGTATAATTACAAACTGGGAATCATTGCTAGAGTTGATTTGATTCTGCAGAGGTTCCAAAGGACTGGGGCCAAGAAATTATCTCTGTAAAATCTTGCTAATCCAGTACATCAATATAAACTCATTACTAATAAAGTGAGTAGGTTAAAGAAGAAAGCCATAAAGTATAAAAGAGATTAGTGCCAAGTGATTGATTGGAAAGCTCCATGCACGTAAATTATGTGTATTTTGACCAAGTAGAGTCATAAATATCTAGGTACAAAGATTGTTGGCCATGCAGGATACAATGACCTGTCCTGAAGAGCGCTCAGGGAAGGATGAGAGATCTGAGAGTCAGCATCAGCATTGCTGCACATCAGGAAGACTCGGCAGCATGTAGGCTGAATGAAATCCTCAGCTGGTGAAAGACTGGGTACCCAGTAAGAACAGAATTGTGATGTAACATCCATTTAACACTGGCCTGACCTCTGCTGAAAAAATATCTGATGCAGCTGCAGTTCACAATTCAAGAAGTAAAAAGATTTATGTGAATGGTTGAAGGGATGGAAAATATGCCTTACAGGAAGATATTCAACATAGTGTTAACTCTATGTCTTTATCATCACAATCTTAAAAGTCATCTGGAGAAAATAACAGTTCAGCAGTTCCATGAAAAAATTCATATTAAGAGCAAAACCTAGAAGTCAGTGTAGGATTGATCAGCATTTTAAAGAAAGGCACAGATATAACTTTTTACAAATGACTGTAAGCAGTCATTGGAACATTTCCCCAATGGCTGTAATAAATCAGTCTTGATTGTTAATTCAACGTTTGTATGTTAAGGAAAAAAAGGACTACAGGCCAGATGCAAGAATTAATGCCAATAAGCCCTACAGTTAATATAAAGTACTACATTAGAAATCCCAGTGGTCCTGTCTAGTCTTAAACTTTTGTAGTCATCAACATAATGACTTTTTATTTAAATTGCTGCTTTTGCTGGAGTTTTCTCGTCTTGGTGTTTAGATTTTACTTTTTAAATCGGCCTTTCCTAAACTAATCCTTCAAAAAAAAGCCTTATTTTTTAACATCACACAGACAAAGCCATCAAAGCTTGTCATTATAAGGTTTACAAGCTATAGACAGTGGGTGCTCGCTTGTTGACAATGTCCCTTTAATGGCACCAGCTTGCAGAGCAGTACTGACAGGTGGCAGTTGGGGCTGTCAGAATATGCACAGAGAATGATTCAGTCACACCCCTCACCCAGACCTGTGCTATGATCTTCATTTCTGAATGTATGCAGGATCTTGCCTTGCTGGTAAGAGGGAGCGAGGAGGGCTGCTCCATTGCCTTTGTTATTGGTGTTCCTCTTTCTATGAACTGGCACCAAAATAAAAAGAGGTGTGTCAACCCAGGGAAGACCTCTGGGAAAAGAAAAACCTATATACAGGAATTCAAATCAGACAAAATGCCTTTCTCCTACTTTTATTTTCCTTTTGTTTCTGATACCAAGGAACAGCTGTGGATGGAAACCAGCAGGGCCTCCGCTAGCTGTCAAGTGAGCACCAATAGGTATAACTGATCCAGGAGCTTAAAGGCCCCAAGTTACCTGGAAATGCTTTAATACTGTTATGAATAAGAAGCTTGACTAGGCCAATATTCAAGCAGCAATCAATTTCTTATTTGATATGGTAAAGTATGAGCAATACAGCGCTGCGTACAGTGGGGGAAGTTTTCCCTCCAACTGCACACCGATAATTGATGGTTACAGGTATTTATAGGGGTACTCATCAGTTTTTTTTTCAGCAGTTTCTATTTCCAATCTTTTACTCATCAGCAATTTTTATTCCAAATTATTACATCACAATTCTATACACTATTGTGATTTTAATTTCTCAGGATGTATCTCAAAGGAGTATCCCCAGATGGTGACGATCCAGTTTCCGAAAGAAGAAAGACGACTCTCATCTGGTGGGGTCCAGCTCCCCAGATGTGTGTCCACCTTTTAATTGCAGAGACTATAAATCTCATAACAGTGATGTCCAGCTTCCCTTTGGTCAAAACCATAAACCCTTGAGGTGATGTTCATCTTCCTTTCTCAAGCTGTTTTTCTCTGCTTCAATAAGGCGTGAGATAAGCATATTTCCTTTATATATATTCCAAAGCAATAGTTTCAAGGATACAAGTAATATTCTAAAATTATTCTTCAAAAGGTTATTATTGCAGAACTCTTTAAGGATTAAATGCAGGCAAAAAGCAACATCTTTAACACTTTAATTCCAATGCTCCTAAATCAACTAGGGTTAATTTGCACACAACAGATAGGTTCAAAGGCCTTTTTCCATGCTTTATTCTCCTCAGTTATTATTAGAATTCACAGCTCTCCCATTGTTGGTATCCACACATTTCGCATTCACAACTACACACATCGCCTGTTTGTACCTGACACGAAACACAACTTTGTATTTCACAATACTGGAAACATATTGTAAGGAGAGGCATTGCTGACTATTAAGGAAAACAAACAACTTGGTTTAAAGAAATAATATATAAAGTTGTTCTTAGTAACTGCCTCTTCTTTGATCAAGCATCTAAAAGATGAATTCTACCAACACTAATACTAATCTCTTTATGAGACTGCAAAGTTGTTTTCCTTCTCGACTGTGCCATTTCTCATGGTTTACCTTTCCTTCATGTTTGATTTTTTTTCAACATCAGTCATTCATTTACAACACTTCTGTTTATGTAACTGGGCTTTGGATTAGGCTTCAAGTTGTCATTTCCTTTCTGTTTGAATAGGGATTTCTTTTATCCAGAGGAAGGAAATCAGTAATTTGTCATGACAAACCAATTCTCATTTGGATTCACAATGATGCAGTCAGCTCTTCTGTTGTTTTGTAAAGCATTTTAGGATAATGGAAGAAGAGCGTTGTTTCTGATTTTTGATGTTTTCCTTTGTTTTCCTTGATTTATTTAACATCTGTACTCCAATTGACCATTTGCAGGACAGATTACAGTAAAGCTATAATTTTGTTTGTTTTAAAGAAGATTGTGCTTTCTGTGTCCCAAGTATTTCCCAGGGGATCATTCAGGGACCCATCCATCAAAGGATTGACCTTTGGTATGACAAATTAACAGATGTATCTGCGGGAAAAAGCTAAACTATACTTTGCCATAAACTTGCATAATCTGTACTTTTCCTTTCCAATCATAGCAGATGGCAGATTACTTACAGAACTGAGCTCCCATTCTTTTTAGGTGCTGCTACCTCTGCAATCCCACCCGTGCACGGAACATTCTCAATGCTTGTCTGTCTCAGCACAGGAAAGGTCCAGGTACTTTCCTGCCAGTCATCGCCTGAAAAATGTTTGGGGATTGCTCAGGGAGCCTGGACACCTTTGTGTTCTTGAGCATCCTGGCAGTATAGACTGGGAGTCAGTGAGAAGTCCTCAGCCTGGGCCTAAGGTTTTCCCCTGGCATTGCACTATCACTGCTTAACTACCTCCCTGTCCCTTTGCTTTTGTAAAAAAAGGGCTACAGGACAGGTTGCAGAGGGCCCTGTGAGCAGCTGGTGCAGGGTTCTGGCTAGAATGGTAGGTCTGGGGTAACTCCAGATATTTTGTGTTCCTGGGTCGAAGAGAGAAGCTGGGCGCCAGTCCCGGCGGGTGAGGGTCTTGCCAAAGTCTTTCGTTCTCCAGTCCCTACAGCCACGCGCGTATAGGCTCCAGGTTCGGAGCCTCCCCTCGGCGACCTTCCCGCTCAGCAGGAACAGCTGGTGAAGTCCAGGCTCGGCTGGAGCTAGGAGGGGGCTAGCGTGCGCCGCGCGGGTGCAGTCGAGGGGCGCGGCTTTGCAGGGGCAGGACTGTGGAAGGTGGGAGTGAAGCGTGGGTGGGGTGCTGGGAAGGCGTGCCGAGCGTTCCGGGAGCCGTGAGCTGGGAGGGAAGGGGGGCCGAGGCGATCCTCCCCTCCATGATTGGCAGCGCGGCTGATGCTGCCCCTCGGCCGCCGTGGATCACGCATCCACACCACCCGACCGGCTCTCTTCGGGCTGCTCTCCTCTTGCCTCTGCTGCGCTCATTTGTTTTAATTTTTTTTTCGTCCTCCTCCCCTCCCATCTTTTGGGCGCTTCCTCTCTCGCCCGCCCGCCCGGCGGGCTACCTCCGCGGGCGCGCAGCGCGGGGCCATGCCTCCGGGGCCGCCGCTGCTTCGGGGCTCCCTCCTCCTCCTCTTTCTCCTGCACTTCCTCGGCCCTCCGGCCAGTGGTGCCGTCTACAGCAACCATTTCTTGGTGGAGCTGCACGACGGGGGCCAGGCGGAGGCCGAGCGGGTAGCGGCGGAGCACGGCTTCGGTGGGGTGCGGAAGGTAAGCCCCCTGCGCAGGGTCGGAGCTCTTGTGGTGCCCTTCACGTTGGGCTCAGGGCATGCAGTGTCGTGCCGTGGGCATGCCGGCTGCGCAGGGGTGGCCCTGGCGCGGTTCTGGCCGCCCCTCACCTGCGGGAAGGGATTCCTGCTTATCGAGAGGCTTTGAGGAATAGCGGTGCCAAGAGCAATTGCAAGTGCTCTTCGACATTGGCCCAGCAGGGTGATTATCTTGGAGGGAGAGCGGAGTTTCCCACATGGTGACTCCGTGCCTTTTGACTTACTTCGTAAGCATCCTGCCATGGAGAAGCTCCCATCCTGCGGGGCTGGGGCTGCCACCTGGGGCTTCCCGAGCGCCCCTGGAAGGGCTCGGAGCACCTACGGGAAAAGGAAAGACTCATCTCCATGGAGAAGCCTGCACACAATTTGAATAGAAGATTTCATAGGGGTTTTGACGCTCAGTTTTTGATGCTGGTGGGCTTCTTTATACTACTGTTATTCTCCTAGAGAAATAGGATGACCCCATGATAAGTGTGAATGTTTTTCACTAAAAATGTAAGTTGGGAAACTTCAGTTGCCATTGGACGTTGTTTTTGCTCATGAGGTTCTAGGAAATCAAGTGTAGCCAGAATGACAGGCCCCCTTCTTGCTCCTAGAGCATCCACCTCTGCTAGAAATCTCTTCCATTCAAGTAATAATTAGACCTCTAAATATTTTAGGGTACAGTAAGACCTTGTGTGAAAACAGGGAGAGGCTGGTAGAGTGCCCTGGTCGTTATAATTCTTGGCACACTTGCTTAGAGGGATGCGAAAGGAAAGCGTGCTGTGAGTATTGCTGCTGCTTGTTTGGTTTTTTTATTTTCCTGGCAGTTACACAATGACAGACTGGTCCTACGTCCAAGGAAATGAATGATAATACCACCCTGAACTTGAATGAGTGAAATAGCTTTAAGCCTTGATTTAAAAATTAAAATTAAAAAAACATACCAAGTGAGACTCCCTCCCTCAGGTTGCCTCGTTTCAATTCCAGTGGGAGCTTGTTAGAGAAATGAGGACAAGATTATTGTTGCTGTGACCACAGCTAATTCCTGCTCTGAAAAGATGCTTTTGTTTTAGGCACACAGACTTGTGATAGTGACAGCTGCTGATCCATTTGGGAAAGGATTCATTGTGTGCATTAGGTTTTGTTATGTGAGATTAAGATAGCTTTTTGGTTAACAGTTTTCCTTTTCTAGTCTCTTCTTGATTATGCTCCCTTCATCCTCTCCTGGGGTTATCTGACTGATAAGGCCCTATGAGGGTATTTATTAGCCCATAGAAGGGTATGTTCCTGCCTAGATCAATTTGTTATGACTTTTGCTCGATGTTTTCAAATGATCCTGTGGTCCAAGTGGGGAAGAGACAGGAAGAGAAAGAGGATTTTGTAGGATGGAGAAATGCAGCTTCTGGACTGTTCGAATCCTCTCCCCTCTACCATGCTTGTCCCCAGGATACCTCAGCCCCATTAGGAGACATACAGCTTCTACATGGAATTGAGCCTTGTAGCTCACGTGAGCTGGAGGGAAGTCCCTTGAGTGTGCAAGAGGAGAGAGAGAGTACCTGTTTTCCAGGACTCACTATGGGGACGCTGTGGACACGGGTGTCTCTAGGAATGAAGCCCAGCAAAGCCATAGTGTGGTGTGTGTGTGTGCTCATGGCGTGGGGCAGCAGGTGATTGCAGTGGGTCCTGTACTCAGCACATACTATCTGAAGTTTTCTGGTTATACTATGCCAATCCCTGAAAAACCAGTGAGCTTACCACCCCTCCTCCCCAGCTGTAAGAGGAAATAGCACTCTGCTTTATGCAAGGCAGTAATTTTAGGGAGGGGGAAAAGTTGGTAGGGTTTGGGTGTGTTGGAGGATAATCCGTGAGAGGTTGATAGCAATCTCTATTCTTAACAGGGTTTGGGTGGTGATAATTGGCTGCCAGTAGAAGCATGTATCATTTATGCCAGTGGCTCTTCAGTTCTCTTCAGCTGAGGAATCTCCTCTCTGCTTTGCTATTGTCAGGCTTGTCTAGCAGTCTACAGTCTGCAGACAGCTTTCATGGTGATATTGACAGTGCAGGAAGTTGAACGTGGCCACGTAGAGAAGTGCAGAGCTGTTAGTGGGAAGCTCTCGAGGGAAACTACTATGTGTAGATATGCTGTCTAATGAAATTTTCAAAAAATACCAGCACACCCCCCCACTCCCAAATTACATCACAAAGAAAAGTGGTCTTTTAGCCACTTCAATGACACATGCTGTTAGGATGATATATTGAGTTACTTACTTAAAACAAATCCAGTTAACTTTGCCCATATTGGAGAGGAGCCATGGTCTGAAAATAATCACCTTTGTTTCAGTGCAGTGTAGGAACACAAGAGCAGATTCTTCTTTTTTAATGTATGTGAATTTAAGTTGCATGTGAGAAAGATTCCTTTTGTGCCTTTAGGGTATCACAGATCTCTTTTAACATGATTTTATGGGAGCTGGTTTTTAAATTATGTATTTTTAGTGCATTTTTTCCCCCAATAACAAGGAATCTCTGAGCAAGTGCATACTACGTTTACTTAACAGCAGATTTCTGTAGAAATACATGAGAAAGCATTGCCTTTACGATTAATATTATGGACTGCATGATGCGCTTTCTAATTGATTCTTTGGCCATGCTCCCTACCATCATTTTGAAACCCCTACAAGATGTCAGGTAGGCTAAATGTGCTTTAAATTCATGCTTGGTAAGTTGATTGAGAAGGGCTTGGTACTTAGATAAACAGGTGCTTTTGTTTAGGTCTAGGGTCCTAACGTGTTAAAAAGAGTAGTCAGTTTTTCTTTAATCTTCCCTGAATTAATCCTGAATACAGATGTCTTTCTAATGCTGGTTGCGCTCTTTGATTCTTATTTTAATATTGGCAATTTTTCAGTCCATTTTTACCTGCTAAAATTGATTCTGTGTATTTCTGGTGAAACAGATACTGTGATAAAACATACTCTTTCTTAAAATGGTTAGTCTTACCATCTCTGAGCATTCAGGAATTGTGAGAATGCCCCCCTAATATTGTAAGAACTGCAAAAAGAACAAGTTTTTGGTTTTGATTGATTCCCCCCCATTTGATATATTTGCCTGTTGGCGTGGTTGTCACCAGAATACGTTTCTTAATGCAGGCTGAAAAAAGCTGCTTTCTGATCTTGGCTTGCAATTTTCAATTAATTTCTAGCAAGGAGAGGTGGAAGATGCATTTAGAAAGGTCTTCTCTTTGGAGATCAGAGTTTAGGCATCTCTTTCCATTTCATCAACAACAGCGAGACTGAGAGAGTCCACAAAATGCCAACATAACTAAAAGGCTAAATATTTTACATTGGCGTTTTAACAGGGTTTTAAACAGCTAGTGGCCCCAGATTTTAAAATAAGAACCAAACATGGATTTGAAAACGTGGAGAATTTTATGTTTATGTTGCCTAAAGCTGTTCTATTTTTACCTTGTATCACCTGATTCCTTATCCCTCTAAATCTTGCAAAACTCAGTCTTACCTGTCACAGCTGTGACTGCTTTGCTTGCTGTTTTTTGCTTAGGAGGCTGCTGGTTGAGGACCAGGCTTTGTGGAACCAACCAGTAATTTCTTGATTAAACGCTGCGAGCGTTCAGGTTTTCTTGTTTTGCTTTTTTTTCTCTTTTTTCTTTACCTTGCATAAATACAGACTTATCAAAAGCAAAACTTAACAGATAAAGAAGCTCTATTTCTTACTGCAGCACAACCCACTTCCCTGCATTTAGGCAGGGAGCCTGTGAGGTGGGAGTTGATGTGGTGTAGAAGGCAGACCAAGAGGCAGAATAATGAGTTAACAGCCTTGAGAGCACTTTGCTGGGATTTCTGTCCGAGATCCTGAACATTTCATCCTGGGATGCACATACTAAAACCTTAAAATGTCCTCCTGTGCAGATCAACCTCTAAATGTGGAAAATAGATATTTGCTTCTTATTTTTTTTTTTTAATACTTTAATATTTTGTGTTTTGCCTTCAATGCGTAACCAGCTCCAGGAGCAACCACTAGCTAACCTGGAACAAACAAAAAAAAATTCCTGTTACTTAAATGTAATCAATTATGCGCATGAAAGCTGTAAATTATCACGAAGATCTGTAAATCACAGACTCAAGCACATCCCTAACCCAGTTTCTGTAAAGCTCCTTCTCTACCAGAGACTCAGACTGTTTGCTGGTGGTGAGTGTTCTCTTTGAACTATGAAATAACTATCTTGTCAGATTTTACACTTGTTTGAGTGTAAAACAATAGGGTTAGTCTCCCCTACTGTAGATCCCCACTGTAACTGCTTCATTACTGTTTTGAATATGTGCTGTAGTTTTTTCTTAGCAAAACGTGCAGATTAAACCTTACCTTTACAGATTTTTGGGTTTTTTTTCCTGAACTACAGCTCAATAAACAGAGTTATGGAATTCTCTCAGTTTATAAAGCTGCCTGCATTTTTAATTTTATTTATTCCATATTGTTTGGACCCATTTGCAAAACAGAACATGTGGTAGAGACCCAGGAACTGCATCACAAGTGCAGTTCTTTTTACACTTTTTTTTGATGCTGCAGCCCAGTGGGGCAATGTGCAATTATTGGTTTTCATTTACAATATATTTAGTTTTGCCAGTGTCAAGGAAAAAACCTGTAGGAAGTGGACAGCATTCCCTGAATGCTGTGATCCCAGCATACCGGAACATGTTGTGTACTAATCGATCTCCTGCCATCTAGCCCAGAGTGCTGGGCATGCTTGGCATTTGTTTATTAGCAGGCAAATGGTCCCAGAGACTGGGTCTGCTGCTTGTCTCCTTCAGAAAAGGACAGAGGTGTTTGAATTTTTGTTATCTTTTTGGAAATCCAACTGTTGTGTGAAGGTGAAAGATAGCCTTCTATCTTCTTCACATAACATGCCAGATGACAAGATATAAGTGTTGGGGAGGATGAAACAAGAAAGCC